TCTTATACCACTACCTCGGTGACTACTTCAATCCATATAATGATTTCTTTAATAAGCACACATAGTCTTCCTTCTCTGAAACTATGAACCATTTTGGTTGTTGCATGTAAATACTCTCCTCAAGTTCTCCATGTAAGAATGTTGTCTTGACATCCATATGCTCAAACTCCAAGTCATTCCTAGCCACCACTCCAAATAAAACCCGAATAGAATTATTCTTCACAATAGGTGAGAACACATCTGTAAAATCAATAACTGAAATATGAATATAGCATTTTGCCACCAATCTAGCCTTGTATCTAGCATTTTCAATCCCCGACATACCTTCCTTTCTTTCGAACATCCATTTACAACGAGCCACCTTTTTACCTTGACGTAATTTCACCAAGTTCCAAGTGTTATTTTTGTTCAATGACTCCATCTCCTCCTGCATAGCAATCATCCATTTGCTAGAATCACTGCAACTGACTACCTCTGAATATGTAGCATGCTCCTCAGTGGAATCAATCTCTTCAGCAACATTTAATGTATAAGTTACCAAATCTGATTCCCCATACTTCTGTGGAGATCTAATCTATCTGCGAGGTCTGTCCTTAGCTATAAAATACTGTGGTGCTGGTGGTGTGGGAAAAGTAGGCAAGGTATTACTGTTTGTTAATCCTGAATTAGACTCATCTGTATTAGATTGTTCTTCAACCTCTAATTGTTTCTTTGAACCAATTTCCAAATCCATTTGCACCAACACCGCTCGCATCTTCATTTGCTATAATGTAAATTTCGTATTTCTATCCAATAATGGAATAGCATACTTCATTTTCGTTATGCGAAACAATCAATCTTGTGCTCTGAAATCACTTGTTATGAATTTCAGATCACAAGATAATGAAGACAATGAAATAAAGATGAATAGAAAAGAACAAAAGAAATTTAAAGGAGAAGAATCCATTATAAAAGCAATAATTTTGCGTTTACAATATCAAGATTTCAATAATCAATTGAAATCTAGGCTCTCAAGAATGTTTTCTCTCAATTCTCTTGATGTTAGAATTTTTTATAATATTACGACTTATATATATAGGAAAACCCTAGGAACATGTTGTAGTAGAAAATAAGTCAAAAAATGTGTCAAACAGACGAAACGGGCTTGGGTCGGAAAAGATTGTCGCTCGAGCAAGGTGTGAGCGACAGTTGGGCGACGAATCCTCGGGTTGTTTTCCACCAGCTTCGCTCGAGCGTGCAGCTAGCGCCAGGCTAGAAAAAATGCGGCAACTTTTTCTTCCGGTCCATAATTTTAATCTCTTCGAAATCATATTCAAAATCACTCCAATTTACACTCTAATACCCACTAGAATTTGGGTCAAACTATAACATATGGCGTTTCAAATACGCATTGAGCATATCCATGTATTTTAGAACATCGATAGAAAGGAAAAATTGGTAGTACAACTATTTAACGCATTTACTTATTTAAAAGTATTCATTAATTTCAAAGAATATAAAATAAATAATTTACTATATTAGGGATAATTTTAAAAAGAATGCTATTCGACCTCATTTGATGGCAAGCGACAGTCTAATTATTGAACATTTAATGACACTTATTGGACAATTAGATTGGGATTAGGACAAGTGATACCGAATATCATTACTCTAATTTTAAAAAAACTTAAATTCAGTGACTCAATAAAGATAAGTTAAATTCCGTGATCTAATTGAGTTTTGACTGAAAGTTCAGGGACCAGATAAAATTTATCCATAATAATGTACAACTAGCCAAACAAGAATGAAGAATCACAATCCTTGAGCAAAGGCGCCCAACTGTAGGGATATGGTGGTTCGAACCAGGAAAACAAGAAC